ATGTCTTTTGGGAGATGATTAAAAATTGGTTTACTTTCTGAAAGAGTTTTGCTTTTGCCACCTGCATAGTGCAGGTACTCACTCTTCCTTGTCTCGTATTGGTGCACTTTATTAGCATTTCTATATGCAGATTCCTTTTGACAGATTGTTGTATGCTCATTCCTATAAGAATTTTGTTGAGTCAACAACTCATGGCTAGAATTTTAGCTCCAATTTTGAGTTCAAAGTTCTTGTCTCCATCAAAGAGCATAAATACTGTTTTTGACCAGTTTACAAGTTTTAGCGACGTCAGAAACCTTTGTAGATCTCTTTCCACCGATTCAATAAATAATTCAGTTTGTCAGCCATGAACATATTCGATATAGTCAATCAATTTGGTCATGAGAAAGGTGGGGTATTTATTTTAATAATCTTGTCTCTAAACACAGAGCTAACAACAAAATTGGATTGGCATTATATTTAGATTTTAGCTCTAAAGCGTTCGATTGTGTTAACTGTAATCTTATCCATTGCTAATAATTATGGCATAAGTGGAGTTGCCTTAGAGTTGCTCGAATCGTATCTTAGTAATAGAGTTCATGCTGTTGGCGCTCCAGAAGACTTACTAGAAAGTATTTCGGTAGTGAAATAACTTGCAGTAATGTGCACTCATGTTACAAGAAATAGAAACAATTTATTTATGAACCATTATTGCAGCGGTGATGCAAAAAACAGATGTATCTCAGTATTTAATAGGCTACCAGATGTCATTAAAAGAAAGAAATCTAAGTATAGTTTTAAATTTTCACTCAAAGCTTTCTTGTTAGATGAAGAATTCTATGACCTTTATGAATTCTGCAATACAGTATGTGGAAAATCTCAGTGACTGTGAAGTAGGTACTCCTGCTTGTTCTCCTGACCCCTTTTATTTGGTTTTGTTTTGTATGGCCCTTCAATCTCTATGTACCCCCTTGTGTATTAGGCTGAACGAGTAAAGACAGGAATCTGAATCTCAGAATATTACATTATGTGCCTGTAAAACTTGTATTATTTTACACCATTTGGACATTGGTGTGCTGGAGGGATCTTTTCTCACTCTGTTCCAATAGACGGAAATAGATGATATATGATATTAAACACATGTCTATCATCAATAATATTTTTGAAAGAGTGGATAAGCAATATACCTTGGCCTGCATTTGGACTCAGCTCTTACTTGGAGTGTACAGGTTGAACATATTGCCAAAAAAAAGCACACCTCTGATTGGAATTTTGTATAGGTTGAGAAACAGTGGACTAAATAATCAAATTTCGAGAAATATTTAGTATGCTCTAATCCACTCTCACCTAACGTATTTAATCTCCATTTGGGGCCACTGCTCTTGTTAACTTATACATAAGCTTGAGGTTTTACAAAAGAGAGCTCTAAAATTTATTTTAAACTTGGCATACAACGAACCATCTGCTGATGTCTATAGAATTACTCAGATTTTCCTGTTCAGAATCAAGCTGATCTTTCCTCTGTGCTATATATGTACAAAATCAAAAACAAACTAGTGCACACCAACATTCACCTTGTAACAAACAGTGAGATCCACACCTACACTACCAGATCTTCAACAAAAAATACATCAGCAGCATCATGATACAACACCCCATGGTGCTAGACATCAACAGACATCAAGAAATTTAAGAATTAGATTAGATTAGATTATTTTTTATTCAACCAAATAGCAGAAGAACAAGTTAGAAGCAGAAACTGAGGAAAATATTGCTCTACCACCAAGGACATGCAGTTGAAGCATATTACTATTTCTAAAAGTGTTTTTTCAAAAAGAGAACAACACGGGGAGTCTGCATGAACTCTGAATGGTACGTTTTAAGGTGCTTCATTAAATTTCTTTTCCTAGTGTCTTTAACCCAATTACACACACACAAAGGACAGGTTATTCGTTCCTCACTTTTCTTGGTGGAAGAGTTTGGTTCTGCCATCTCAGTCCCTGGATGATTCAATGTTTTAGGGTGAACAATTGATTGTTGAAAAAAGCCATCTTCCACATTACGAATTAT